CACCCGGGCGCCCATCGGTGGGCGAGGGGCATCGGGCGCTGGCCAGCACATGGCAGGTACCGGGCGCAGTACGGCCAAGGGTGCAGCGGTGCAGTCTGAGAGTCAGGGCAGAGCCAAAGCAGCATCGGTGGGACGCTGACGCCAGCCACGCTTCATTCCCCGTACCATGGTAGACACAAACCCGGCGGTTAGCACTAGAAACACTTGTTTTTCCTCTTTAGTACAAAAGTTTGGGAAATCCTACGATGACATGGGCTACAATTGTTTTATTGCCGTATTCTCAATAGAAAATTCATTTTCTTTTTTTTTAAGAAAACAGGTTATCCACTGCAGATCCAGATGAGAATCAAAGTCACCTGACAGCCGGCAGCCGCCCCAGCTGCCTCAGTGATTAAGACACAGGTAGCACCCGTCACACCTTATTTAAGCCCTGCCAGTCCCGTGCGAGCCTTAGGCTTTGTAGCTCAGCTCGGCGTTCATCTTTGCGTACATCTCATAAATTGCATCCAGGATGGGGGTGACCCTCGAGAGAAACTGATGAATCTTCTCTATGCTTTCCTCCTCTTTGACTTCTTTACCCTTCTCTAACGCCTTCAGCAAATCCGATTTGTACGGAATAGTCCGAGCCCTATAAAACAGGGGAAGAAGCTGTAAGGCTCCCATAAACCCAAAGTCCTCCCCATCCCACATGCAGGACCCCAGTTTGGGTTGTTCCTGAGTGCCTCCAAGCGCCCGGAGGCCCCGTGGCATCCCCATTTGGGATGTTGGCTGGACGCTCGGAGAAGCAGGGATGCACAAAGAGGGTCCCCTGGAAATACTGCTCAAAATAGATCAGCAGCTTCCCATCTTTCCAAGCCCTTATTCCCCTAAAACACAGGGCAACTAAGGGAGCAGCTGAGCTTAAAGAAAAGCTGTTTTCCTCCACAGAAATGTGAAAGCTCACCGTGAAGAGCTTCTGCAGCATCCAGCCATGGTATTTCTTCAGCGCGATCTCATAAGCCTTCATGGCGTTCACTCGGATGAGGTTCGGATGCTCCTCGTCACGCTCACCGTCAGAGATGCTCTGCAGCAGAACCAGCATGAACTTCAGGCCCCTGTGAGAAGAGCGGAGATGTCAGGGTGGGGAAGGGGATGCTGCTTCCCAGCCTCCGGCACGTATCCCCCAAGTCCGGCGCATCCGGGCGCCCCAAAAACCCCCAGCCCTGGCAGCACACCCTCCCCACAGGGCTGATGCCTGCCCCTGTGTGTTCCTGCTCGTGCAGCCAGTGCGCCGGGCTGTGCTCCCCAAAATGCAGCACCCCAAGCTGCCCCGGCCAGACCCAGCCTGAAGGGACCAGCCAGACCCACGCTCTCCGCAGCAGCCTCCGGCCGGCGTTGGACAGGCTCCCCACGTGCCGGGACACAGCCCGGAGCAGCCCCCCACGCTGTGAGTCACCTTTTCAACCACATCAGCGCCAGCGTCGCACCCGTCTTGGGCCAGGCCGAGCCGTGCATCTCCTTCTCCACCTCCAGGATGTTCTGCAGCGTTTTGAACTTCGCGGGGTTGGAGTCGTAAACCGCCCGGATTTTCTGAGAAGGCAGAGAAAGGGGG